CTGTTGTTTGGACACTTCAACTGCGCCGGATCACTGATCAACGATTTGTACGTGCTAACAGCTGGCCATTGTGTGGAGGGCTTGCCGCCCGAGCTGATCACCGTGCGGCTTCTGGAGCACAATCGCAGTGATAGCGATGCCCTGGTGCTGCAACGGCGCGCCGTGCGTGTGAAGGTGCACGAGCTCTATAATCCTCGGAGTCTCGAAAATGACATTGCCCTGATAAGACTTGATCAGCCGGTGAGCTTTGAGGCACCCATGCGACCTGTTTGCTTGCCGGTGTACAGCTCCAGCTTCGAGGGGGAGCTGGGCAAGGTTACAGGCTGGGGTGCACTGCGAGAGGGAGGATTTGCAGCGCAAGTCTTGCAGGTGATTCGTATGTCTTACTTTTCACTCTAACTTAGCCCAAACTTAATATTACCCTGTTCTAATATTTCTTGTATTTTTTTATCTACATCTCTTTACCTGCAGCGCCTTAACTCAATTCGATTGAATATATCTTTATCTATATCATTCTCATCTCCCTTTTGTTGTAATTTCTCTGTCTCTGTTGCGCTCTCTTTCACATTATTGCAGGGAAAGCCTCGCTTCAAGTTTATTCTCTATAGGTGATGCAAGACTTTCCAAACACCTTCCTTTATAATTTTCTCTCTCGCACTTCTATTTTTCTAAATCATATTTTGTTGCACCAATTCCACACCCCTTCCTTATCCGGATGGTTAAACTGATCTTCTTCCAAACTCAACAGGAAGTCGTTGTGCTTATTCTTAGCCAATCCGAATGCCGCAGCTCCAGCTACAGTCCTGCCATGATCACCGACAATATGCTCTGTGCTGGATACTTGGGCGTGGGCTCCAAGGATGCCTGCAGCGGGGACAGCGGCGGACCGCTTCATGTGCTCCTCGACGAGCAGCCGGGACAGTATCAGCTGGCTGGCATTGTCTCCTGGGGCGCTGGCTGTGCCCGACCCGATTCACCCGGAGTTTACACACGGGTAAATCAATATTTGCGCTGGATTGAAGCCAACACCCCTTCGGCCTGCGCCTGCATGGAGTATCCCGAGGAAGACTACTAGCCCAACTAATTGCACTTTGCAGCCACGTTCCGGCGAAGGCTGCAGCTCATCTGTCAAACTTTGACTACAACAACGACCAGTCCCAGGGGCAGGCCAAACTTTTGGCGTTGCATTTGAAAATATGTATTAGTAAATTTTGCATAAACTACTTTGACTCACTTTGTGTGCCATTCATCTCCCAGCGGAGAGCACTCGCAGTCACACTCACACATAAGATGTCCATAACCATATCCGTATCCGTAAACGTAAACGTAAACGTAGCCGTAACCGCATCCATTGGCAAATAAAAAGGCAATTTGAAAGTGGGTTAGCTAGCTTTCCCTTTCTAGCTGCTTTCCCAGCCCATTCCCATTACCATCCGCAACTTTGCTTGGATAACGGGGCCAGGGACATGCCGCAGGACCTGGTCCAGGACGTGGCCATAGCTGTCTCCCTCATTCTCATAGAAATAAATCCCAATTTGGTGCATATCAACTGCCGCCGCATGCGAAATATTTTGTGCAATTGAGTTTGCTATGCATTTTGCATTTGGGCAATCATAAAAACTATAACAAACAAAAAAAAAAGCAGCAACAAGCCACAAGGACACGCACACGAATGCGGCCACTCGCAGGAGCAAGTTTTTCACTCTAGATAAATTGCTCGAAATATTTGTGGCAAGTGAGTTTTTAGTTGCAACGCCATGCGATAAGCATAACTTTCCTTTATTGCCAACAAATTATTTACTTTGTATGAAGAATGGATATTCCCAGCGAGTTTTGATTGGCTCTAATGGAGAGCTATGCTTAATGCTACAACAGATAATTTGAATAAAAATGAAATTATAAAGTTCAAAGTGAAAAACTTACAATTTTACACATAACTAATCAGCAGAAATAAAAGATAGCCTGTTACAATAAAAAAAGGTGCCTAATAATTATTAAAAAATAAATATACTCTTTTATTGTATTTACCCTAGGGTTATTCCGCCAAATGCTTAGCATTATAAACTTTACAACGGATTATCTTAAAGTATGCTGTAGCCTGAGTATTAATCTTCATATTTTGATCAGTGAATATGGTCTAGGGAAGTGTGTCCCATTAATGAAGATAGCCAAAAACCCTCAACCCGAAATATAGAAATTCTGGCATTTGCACAGGTAATTTGCCTGACGTAAGCTAACTCAATGGATTCCTTAAGTTTATTTATTGAATATTAAAAAAATATTAAAATATGTTACGAACCAAATTGGAATATTTTACAAACCAAGGTTCAAACAAGCTTTTCGATGTGGAAAAGCTGGTTCACGAATCGAAGCTTGGCTCGAAACGTGTACAATTATGCTTTCCATTTAAATTGCGCGGTACTCATAAAACTCGAATCCCTTTTCCATCCGAACAAAGACAAATTTGCAAATCTCAGAAGGACCCCTTAGTCTCATATGTCGAAATATGCAAATAGTTTTACAAACGTCATGGATCATTAAAACTGTTTACGACTTCATATTAAAACTGCACAAACTGTAAGCCGTAAAGAAATGCATTTATACTTTGCCAATAAATTTGTCTCACTTTTTTCGCTGTGTCTGTTTTTGGGCCAGAGCACAAACTCATAAAGATTTCCTACTCAAAGCCATAAAGCAGTCTCGGAGTCTTGTCTTAAACTTAAACCTAAACTTAAAGTACTGCCGGCCTGTCTGGGTTTCCAGCTAAACGACAAATAGCTTGGCATTTAATAACTCTACGGGTCCGACTTTAGCTCTCTCTCTCTCTCATTGTCTCTTTATCTCTCTCTCTCTCTCGTTTATTCCAATTCCCAGTTCTTCAGCTGCTTCATTATTATGCGACGAGTCGACTTCATTTCGAGCTGAGAGGTTTCATAATTTAAAACTGCGCTTTGTCGCAAAACGAATTTATGTGCTGAAATTAAAGCTGAGGTTGGGAATCGAATTGGATATGTGTGAGTGGGAGAGAGACAGATAGAGGGAGAGAAAGAGTAAGACACACGAATAAAGTGTTGCGAATGGATTTAAGCTCTCAAGTTGAAAGAACTTTGGAAAGGTAGATATACCTACCTATATATGGCAAAAAGAAAAGCACGTTAAGCGTAAATAGAAAATGAGGCTTACAAAAATATTGTTAAATTAAAAACTAAAGAGTCAAGAATATAGATGTTGTCTAAGACAAACCCAAACCTTGTTTGGGCTACATTAGATCAGTATCAGCAAAACCGTAAGGCATGTTTCTAATGTGTATTTAATCCCCGGAGATATCAATACTTTCTTCAAACTATTCTGAATATGTCACATATTTTATGTCGCCACTAACACTTGGGTCTTTGGCACATCTAAGAATTTACAACTTTAATTACTTTCAAAACATATGTTTAGTTATTACATGTGATATTTGATTTCAACTTGTTTTTAAGCTCTTACTTACATTTTAAATGAGGCACTTCTAAATGGACAGTAAAACGCAACTTTACACACAAAACTAGGCAACAAGTTTGCCCATCACCGCCCCCCTGTGGAACTCTAGACTCATCTAAGGCCTTAGCTCAATAGTACTCCATAACAGACGCCTAACGTTAAAATTAATAATCATGTGTCATGTGTACAATGATGCCCAATGATGTTCCACTAAAAACAGACGTCAGATATTCTGGGAAGGCGAACATGACACATCTCATTATGATGTGGCTCCCAAATGATGAAGCCTCCTTTTTGGCCACAGCGGCATTTGCATGTGCCGCAGTCAACACAGACAGGCCTCGACCCTGTCCTTTGCCTGTTGTATTAGTGTGTGCGTGTGCGTGTGTCGCTGTCAGAGTATTTTGTTTATGATTTTGTAGCTGTCATAAAGTTATTAAAAGTATGTGACATTTTTATGACATTATGACGTCTCGACTCAGAGCCAAGCGATTCTCGGAGTCAGATTGGGTGCCCCGAAAAAAAAAATGCCACTTGCTTTTGTTTTGATTGGGCTTGCAGCTTCGAGGGCCGCTGGAACATGCCATGAAATATGATATCAAATAAAAAGCAAATTAAAGACGATAAAAATCGTGTCTCGCCTCACGCTGTGCGTTGTTAAAACACACATTTCTCGTTTTTTTTTTTTTTTTCATATATATGGTGTTTATATTTTTTTGCGAAATCGAAACCAAAAGCGACTAAAGGCGACCTGCCTTTGGGGTTTTCAAAATTGGCTTCAGATTGAAGCTGGCCTGTTCGGTAGTTCCTGTTGTTGTTGTTGTTGTGGTCTCTCATAAAACTTGTAAACATCGCACTGATTGTGCCCCCGGTCTGAGTGCCTCGTCGCTGTGGGCACTAAATGCAAAGATATTTTCGGTCAGATATCACAGTTTCAGTTTTGATAGCCCCCCTCCGCTGGCTCGTTATGAGGCGAAGGCGTGTAAGATCTGATAAGCTGATAAGCGTTTTAGTGTTTCTAGCCCCATGTTATTTTCATAAAAGGGGTCAGCATGAAATCGCATTATAATGCCCAAATTAAGGCCAATACGCCCACATTCGTTGGTGCTAAATCATGTATCTAAATGTTGGCACTGTTCGTGGCATTGTAAAATTGTTTATTTCGATTCTTTATCATATTGGTACATATCAAATTTCATACCGCTTATAATCGCCTGAGGTGTAGAGCGTTTATAACATCACAGTAATGATCCATTAGGCATGAATGGATACGATATATATTTTAAGACTTACTTTTAACAGTATTGTATTATTTAATATCCGCGAAAGCTCCGAAATGTCTTTGAGGTTCATTGTCTAGGTGGGTGTGTTCATTTATTTCTGAATGCTTTATGAGTGCACTTGGGTATCACAACTGTTCAGTATCACAAAGGGAATATAGTACTAAAAATAACATTTATAATATATTTATGTATATAGATAAAAGGCATCTATCTTACTAAGGACTAAATGTTAAATGTTAAACTTGTTTTATTTTTATCCTAACTGCTTTAGTTTAAACATTTTAGTGGATATTCATTTCTTATTTTTGCTTGCTTTTTTTTCAATTTGTTTCTTATAAAATACTTTAAAAGGTTTCACCTGGACGGGAAACTTGGGAGTGCTCAACGCGACCGCTTCGATTTGGAGTTACGCAGATCGTAGCGACGCCGCTTGGAGACGCTCTTTGGGGCTGTTGGACACTTGAGATCCTTGCCAGCATCGTTTGTGCTGCAGTTGATATTTGGCTCGTTATCCTTTGTGTTGTTCTTCTGCTCGTCCTTTATGTAGGCGGCGGCTGCGGCAGCTGCCTGCAGCAAATCCTCGCCGTGGTCGTCATGGGGTGATTCCGGCTGCAAATCAGTATCCGTAATTGCACATTTTCTTACCAATTTCTTTCTCTTGAGCTTTGGCTTGAGCGGCGTCGGTTCTTTCTTTTCAGAGTCCTCCTCTACATCGGGGCCGACGCCGCACAACTCCTGCATGACCTGCTCGAGTTCAATGTCCTCTGGCGGCGGATTGAAGCCGTCGCCCGCCAGCGCATCGTCGTGTTTCCCCGCAGGGGCTATGTTAGTCACCTCGTGGCTGTCCTGATCTCCGAGATCATCCTCATCCTCTGAGTACACTATGCCAATGGGCAGATTCTGTTGAAACGCATTCGCCTTGCTGGCATCCACAACAATGTCCTTGTAGCCACTGGTCCTGGCGCCATAGCGCGGCAAGTATTCCGCAAAGAACTCGTTGATCAGCGTCGGCTCCACCCGTCCATAGAATCCGGCATAGTCGGGCACTTGGCCAGCCTCAAAATGCAGCACGGAGTCTCGCGGATTTATGTGCTTGTTGGCCAGCGCGGGCACCAACGACGACTGCGTCGATTGTCTACTGCTGCTGATGCGTCCGCGTCGTGGTAGGAGTTGCTCGGCATTCGGTTCCCGCACTTGAAGCAGTCGCACATCGTTGTGGTAGTGCAGCAGGGTCTGGAAACGGCAACGCGCTAGTTGCAACGGCGAGTGGCAGTTCTGAAAACTGGAGCACAGATCCTTGCCCGTGCCCAGCTCAAGGGGGCCCTTTGAGGCACTTGCCTTGCCCAACTTCTGCGGAACCAGTTGCTCGAATTGCGGCGTGGGCATGAGCAGCAGCTGCTCGGGCTGGCCCTGCTTGAAGTTCGTGTGCTGATAGTACAACTGAGGCCTGTCCTCGAGCACCTCGATCTCCTGCAGCACGCGCTCGAAGCCCACGTCCACCATCTGGCGTACGAACTGCAATATGCTGCGGCTGCGAAACATACTGTGGGCACCAGCCAAATGCTCCTGCAGTCCAATATAGTCCAACTGTAGCTGCTGGCCATCGGCCGTCCAGTATAGAAACGTCACCTGCGCACTGCTGGCGGCCAGATGTAGCTTGTGGATAAAATTGTGACTTAGCAGCGATTCCAGCTGCAGCTTTGCACCTGGATGCGCGGGCACAACCAGCAAATTGCTGGGACCTGTCAGACTGCCCTGCTGTGGCAACAGGGCCAGGTCGCTGTGCAGGGACTGGACTTCAATGGAGGCACAGTCGTTGGCGCCGTGGTGCACCTCGTGAGACACCTCGTCCAGCGATTTGAGAAACTGGAGAAACTCTAGTTGCACGGTGTTATCCGCTGTGCTCGGCTCCACAGCTTCCACCTGCTGGTCATCTGTTTGCTTATCTAGAACCCTAACTGGACTGTTGCATTCTCGACGCTTACTCTTACTCGTCGACATTTTCTTTTTTGGGTTGTTAATTCTAAATGACTACTACTAAGGCTTTTCTCGGACTAAACGCACACTTGCCCAGGACGAATGTATATGTTTTGGGCCCCCAAAATTCAACCTGTCAACCTGTCAGTGTTAGCAAATTCCGAACACTGAAAACGATTGCAAAGGGTTGCAAGGCAATGCGATGAACTGGCCAATCGATGTGTTCCCATTTTCAAAATTTAACGAGCTCGTCAGCCAAATGCTTGGGCTAATGCCCTTGACAAGACTACAAATTTGAATACTTTTGATTATGTTTGGAAATGCTGAAGAAATTCTTATTTTCTTCTTTTTGTAACTGACTGACTGACAGATGCACAGGCTGACTGACTGACAGACTGACCAACTGATTGGCTGACTGCCAAACTGACAGACTGACCGACTGATTGACTGACTGATTGATGATCAACATAGCTAGTCAATTAGAAGCTTTTGACAAATTCCACCAGCCACTGTTGAAAATAGGTTGAAAATGGTTGATAAACCCTTTTTGACTTCAAACTCATTTTTATAGATTTTTGTGAAAACTTATTCAATACATTTCCAATATTCACCCGCCTGAATAAACAAATTTGTCAAAAGATGAATGAAAGCCTAATTTTCGGACTAAATTTCGGCTAAATTTGAAAGCTCTACACTGTTCAAAATAAATACATCAAAAATAACGATTTTTTAAGCCCAGTTTTGTTTCTTATCATAGAAAGGTGATATCCACAACTTGAAGAAACCAAGCTTGACTATCAATATACTTTACTTTATTTATTTATTAATATTAATATAAAACTATGAAAGTTAAAAGCTTAAATTTAAGCGAAATATACAAATTTCTAACAACATCTCCGAGACACTAGAGGTATTTTATTTGCTCGTCCGGCCCTTTTCACATGATTATCATGTTATTCAAGTCCACAGCTAAAAAGAAGGTGTTAGTGGAGAAATAGGTAATTTTAAGAAAAAATCATATCATAAATTAGAAAAATTAGAAAAACGACAGAGGTTATAAGAAACGTAAAGAAAATTCTTATAGAGTAGAGACAAATAGGGATACACAATACACAATAGATATTGATATATCATGAAATAGTTTCAGCTGTTTTTGTTGCTTAAGGAACTTTATCGACTTGGCAACGTTGTCTTTTTAACCGTCATATGCCCAATATGTCAATAAAAACAAATTTGAAACTTACCAAGCACGAAAAATGTGAATAGGGAGCCGAATATACAATACTCTTCCAGACAAAACTAAAATTTATATGCTTGACAAAGTTTATCAAAATTCTTAGCCTAAAAATAGCTTTCAAATAATTAAAGTTTTAAATATAATTATATTCCTTTGGCAGTTAAGTCTTTTAAGCAAATTCAGCATATAAAAGTGGGCGTCACTTAATCAAGATTTTAATATATTGTTATGTTATTATGCATATTATTGGGATTAAAAACTAGATTTTCAATATGTATCGAATTTTGTGATAAATATTAAAGTACCCTTGGCAAGCGTATATAAACAAAATACAATATTATAAAGAACCAAACACATTTCATTCCATTTGAATGCATTTAATGTATTGTTTGCAATAAATCTATTGTTATTCATGGGCACCCTTTCGGAGTCCATCGCGACGGCACGCACTCGGTTGGCGGCAAATTTCAAAAGGGCGGCTTTGGCAGGGGGCTTCCCCAAAAAGGATACACCCGCAATATCAATAATAACAGCGGCGGGCAGCAACAAAAAAGGCCGCCAACATTTGACACTCGCCCCCCTCTGCTCGTTGTTGCTCCCCCTGCCCCCTGCCGACGGCTGCTCGGCTGCCCAAAGCACGTAGCCAATCAGTGGACGGGTTGGGGGGCAACAGTAGCTTTAAATTGACATTTACATGAATATTTAATATACATCCTTTAATCATGAGGCGTTCGCAGTGTTTGCCGCGCAAATAACTTCATGTTGGTTCATTGCCTGAATGGATGGATGGCCCTGGCTGGACATGGACATCCACATGGACAGCGACATGACCATGGACATGGACTCGTCCACATTTTTTGTGCGGTTCGCTTAGCGTTTTTTCCCGCAACAACTCAGCTTTGCATACACTAGCTAAAAGTTAAATTAAATGAAATGAGAGGACAATTGGTTTGTAAATAATATATGGAATACCCCTATGATGCGAGGAAACGCTGAACATTTTATATAATATTATAATGCATTCTCCTAACTGAAACTCTATTAAAATTGAGATATTTATTGCACAGCTTTTATTTTACCAGCTGAAAGAAAACATTCTGATATTGCAACCTTTTTAAAAGTTAGATAAAACGAGTATTTAAATTATTTTTGCGTAATTTATGCTTATTTTTATATATAGACTCTACTTACGCCATCTAGTTTTATTTGATTACATTGAGTTTATATTGTATTCTTGTGATTTGATGCATTTTATGGCCTGTGCTGACGGCTTCCTCTTGATGTCTGTCCCAGCTTTATGGCCAAGTTATGATGTTCCGCTTTTATTTGAACTGTAGAGCACAATAAAAGCCGCGAACAGGGCGAATGTGACGAATAAATTTACAAGTCGACAAAAAGTACGACACGCACGTGATTTTCACAATGTTTCCTTTGCTTTTTTCCTCGATTTTCATTTGGCTTTTTTTTATATTCTTTTTTCCGCATGACGGAAACGAGCAAAGTTTTTATGATGTGACGACCGTGTGACGCGTCCGAGTCCGAGTTAAAATTCAGTTTCATTTTCAGTTTCACTTGTGGCTGAGTTTATTTGTTCGTTAGTCTTCCCTTCACGTCAGCTGAGCTGTTACTTCGTGCGACTCCCAGGATATCTCCAAATCTTAATGTTAATGTATGAAAACTAAGCCTCTGCAAGGGTTGCTGTGCTAAAGATCATTTTTCGGAGTTGCTCAGCTGCTGCTAGCTGAATGAGTATATATTAAGGTTTAGAGTATTTTGTTTAAGTTTACGCGCTTAGTTGGAGAATGTGCGTCCCCAGAGCTGGAGAATCGTGCGGTGCGGCATGTGTCTCTTATCAGTGTAACCATAACCGAAATATGACGATCAATTAAATTTCGGCTGACATTTGCGCTGTGACAGCTGCTGGTCACACAGTTCCAGCAAGTTTATGGGTTCGACTCCGCTAACTATGTAATACCTCGATCTCTATCATAGATCGTCTCGGCTTGCCGCCTGATAAATTGCCAAGCATTTTGTACGGTCTTTGTCTATAAATTTAAGAGAGTTTGAAATACGTTTAGAAAAAAGGTGCTCTAGCGTAAAATATAAGAGGACGGCAAGCAAGTCGTTAGAGCAGCGACTATTGAATACTCTTTAATGGTTAAAGTTAAAAAAAAAGCAGGAAAAGCATTATAATAACAGAAATATTTATATATTTATCATTAATTTCCTACAAACTTACTTTAAATTATTGAAATATTAGGTAAGAATAACATGAAATATATAAAAAAATACCTCTTTTTTTGATTGTGTGATATGTTTTTGTGTCAGCTTGGTAAACATTAAGAATTAAGTATTTTATGAATGAAATGAGTTTTATAAATAGTTAAATAAATATTTAAATTATTCAAATTTCTATTAAAAATATTTAATTTTTATCTCTAGAATTGTTGTTTTTACATCATTTCTACTTTTACATTACAAACAATACTTGAACTTATTATATTGTTTTTTATCATACTCAAGCAAGTTATATTAAAACGAAAAAGCCGCGACAAGCCAACAAATTCGAAAAACGGCGCCGTTTTAATGCGTGTCAAGTGGCCATACATTATGGGTTTTTATGGTTTATGGGCGCTACTTATATGGCCTGGCCTGGTACAGACATGTGTGTCTGTGGGCTTGCCTCTGTGCGTGTGTGTGTGTGTGTGTGTGTGTTGGGTTGCATATTTTCAAGTAAATTTTGTTTGAGCGCAATAAAATTGTATGAGACTTGATCTGTGTTTCTCCGGGAACAACATTTGCGGCTCTTTCACCGTTTGACAGCTGTCAAATTGCTTTCCTATAAACTTCCGCTTGCGCACAGAGTCCAGCTAAACTGTCAATTGCATTTTTATGAGCTTGTTGTGGCTTCTGATTTCTTTCTCTGTTCTTGTTTCTTAAGTACATTTGTATATAGCGTGTGAGTCAGTCAAGACAGTCAAGCTTACATCAGCTCTCTCCACGTACTCTTGAGTCTTGAGTCTCTCTGAGTCATCAAAGCGAACCGAGAACAATGTCATCGGACAATCCATCAATCACTCGACAGTCCCCAGTCTAAGGCCAGACATTGCAAAGCCTCGTCTCAGCTCAAAACTAATTAATATAAATGGTTAACTTTCGCTTAGTGACTCCACTTTCAGGGCACTTCTTGTGAAAGATTCAGCAATGATCGCCAGATATCATTGATTATTAAAGCAAGATGCCAGGGAATCATTTTTCAAAAATTATAAATTAATCGTATTTGTATGCGAGTTGCCGTTGCTGGTGAATTGGTGCTAATTTCTTCGTTATTTAATGATAATCTACAAGAACTGAATGTGAACCAGAAAAGAACCGCAACGCGTTTGCACGAACTAGTTTCATTTCAAGTAACATTATGGATTATGGATTCAAGGCATCTGTTCGATGCACCAAATTAAACCTTTACTTAAGTTAAATCTGACTAATTGCATAGGAATACCCCAACCCCTAGCTGCTTGCCCTTCAAAAGGGACCAATGCAGGAAACTTCTTGTTTAAGTAACATGATATTTTTTTGTACTGTCTGCAACATGTTTTCCGTAAATGTGTTGCCCCGAATGGAACTTGGAAGTCGGTATCGCTTTCGCCCTTGGTTGATGTGCAGAGTGAAAAGTATTTGAAAAGTATTTTGCCGCCATGCTTTTGCCTAATGAAGCGTAAAAACTCCCGCTCGCTGTTGCAGATAATTAACACAACTCCATTTCAATGGGCAAGGATCTCATTAACCCTTGACATTTGTCACATGCACACAAAACCAGACTTCAAATACAAAAGGCAAAAGAAAAGACAAAAACAACAACAGAGAAACGAAAGGAGTTTCCTTTTTCCAGTTGCCTTCGCTGGGGCCCTTTTTGAGACCCGACTCTCGACTCCCGACTCCCGACTCTGTTGTTCCTGGGGACAAGTCAATCTACGTGACGTGGCGTCCTTTTTGCTGCATGCCTCATCGACTTGAGCAGCGCAATTGTTGAAACAGATGTCAAATTGTTGAAAATTTTGTTATTTCTCTTCTTTTTTTTTTATTTATTTTTACTCCTATTTATTTGTCTATGCGTGTTTGTGCTAGAGTCCGCATGCCTTTTGTTTTCCCTTGTTTTGGTTCATTGACTGCGCGGTTTCGAATTTCTGTGAAATATTCACCCCCGTCCTCCGTCAACTGTCCCCCGGCAACTCCCTCGGCTGAACCAACTATCGAGTCTTTGATGCATCTCCATTTCAAGTTTATCGATTTGCCCGCCTGCGAGAGCGAAAGAGTTCAGCAAGTGCATTGAAAATCCAACGGAGAAACCCGATATCTTCCATTTGGAGTCGGATCCCTTGCGGAGTAAATGCATCATCCATTAAACTAAATGAGTACGTATTTTCGGCTTACCTGCGGATTACGCTTAAGTGCAATTGATTTTGGGCTGCATTCGAATGGAATCAGAGATTATCGATTGTTATAGAAGCTATATAATAAGTCCATATCCATATGCAATCCATATCCATATTTAACACTAAGGAAACTTGGATTCTGTGAAAAGTGTTCAAAGGAATTGTCCGCCCAAGATCTGCAATAGAAACACTACCCTATACATATTTACTTTATATAATCACCTATCGTCATGCATTATAATACCCTCCATGAGTCAAACCAACCCATTAAACAAGGTAAGGTATCTAGATTGTATTACCTACGAGTCTCTGCAATTATTTAACTGCTTCGCAGCGGCTTGAGCTTTAGCGTCGGCTCCGACTCCACGAAAGTGCGAAAATTATTTGTGATGAATAATACAACTTCATCAGCGGGCTTCGGTCTGAGGTTTCCCCCGAAACGTTGGCTGAACTGCCCCCAAAAGCATTTGCTGTGCCAGCCTCCAGTTTCCTTCAAGCGTGCATAAGTGAAATGTGCTCAAGATACAGATACCGAAACAGATACAGATACAAATTCAGATACAGATACAGATACAGATACATTGAAGTCAGCAACAACCGGCAAACGGCAACCGGCAAGCGGCAACAACGAGCAGCACCCAAAAGGTAATTAATCATCGTCATGGGGCGTGTGCACGATTCGCTTAACGTGCGCCGCTGGCGGTGGCTTCAGCGTGGAGCTGGCCGAGGAGCAGGCGGAGGAGGAGGAGACGCAGGCGGAGTTGGGTGCGGTGCGGGGGGCGCTTGCGAGCAACTGCCGCTGCTTGCAGACATTTGTGGCATATTACCCAAGGCGTACAAATGTATATATATTTCCATATTTCCATATGGTCGCCGCCGACGCCCGACACCCGAGCGACATGTCGCTGCTTGTCTTGGCGGGCACGGGGGGCTGGGGCGTGGCAATAGTCATAACGAGCCAAATTAATGCGTTTCTTTCTACATGGAGCAGAATTCCCGTGCAGCTAGTGACACATTTGCTGATTTAGCAGGAGACGCAGCACAGGCAGGCGACCCGAACGGGACTCATAGGTGTGTAATACCCTGTAATTGTGCTGTCAAAGCATATTTGCATAACACATTGGGGCTAAGCTCTTCATTCTGGCGGAGATTTTCAACCGTTGACTATTTATGTAGCAAGAGTTTCATGCCGTTTGCAGCACAGGGTATGCCCAAGTCGAGCACTTGACGCTGTTGCATGTCCATTATGTTTTATTATCTGTGCGCCAAAATGTTTCAAATACTTTTGTCTCGCCCACCGACATTTGTTTCTGGCCAAGCAAATTCAATTTTAATTGATTGTGCGGCTGATTTTAACGATTGCGCGTGCCATTTGAGTTGGCCAACGGGGCGTGGCATTTAGTGGTGGGAGCTTAACGTGTGTTATGCATGAGTATTGCCGGCTAATTGGATGCTCAGCTAATTAGTTGTCGAGCTGGTTGGTCTGGGCCAAGCCAAGGTAGCAGGCCCCTCATATTTTTAAATATATAAAACCTTATGCTAATCTAATCGGATACCAATTGAACAGTCGCTGTTAAAAGTAACGCCAAGCGTAGAGGTGGCTGTGACAGCGACAGCTGCAGCAGCGTCGACGGCGTCAATTCTCACCCGCGCAAAAACTGACAAACGCCGACAATAAAAACACGTGCTTATCAGGCAAACACACTTACACGCACACACACACACACACACAGCCACCAAACAGACAACAACAGAGAGTTTGTTTGAAATAAACAAAAATCAGCTGTTCGCAGTGCTCGCTCTCTCTCACGCTCTCTTGCTTCCAATTCCAGTGAGCGAAGAAGCTGAGAAACGAGTTTTGTTGTCTGCCGGCATGTGAAGAGAGTTGCTATAAAAAGAGGGCAGAATTTATAGCAAGTTCAAATATTCACTCTGGCGGGTATTATTGGCTATTCATAAAATTCCAGAAAATGTAAATAAATCTAACAAAAAAGCAATAATTTATTATTTTTAAAATAAAAAGTTGGTTATCTATAAAAAAAGGTTCTTCTACTTGGCGAACTAACACGCTTGAATTTCTCGCATGCGATTTCTATGCTCACACGCTCTCTCGCCTAAAACCGAGCCGAGCGACTCCTAACGAACCGAACGCAAGAAGCACGAAGCAAAGCAATTCGTGCAGCCGAAGCATCCATACAGCCACCCACAAACGCACACACACTGCTCCGCATGCCGCATGCCAGTACTTATGCTTAGTGGACGCTGCCTGGCTCTGGCTCCGGTGCTGACTCCCGGTGCTTCCAATTGGAAGGCGCCAGTCGTAAAGCGAAACTCGTCGCGAGCGGTTGTGGTCGGAGCGTCGTTCTGTCGTCGTCAGCGTCGTTTACCAGCATTTTGCGTAAATTTATAACTGTACGTTAGACGTGCTGTGCTCTATGCAAATGCGGAAAGCGCGTGTTGGGGCTTTTAAAGTTGTTAACATTAAATCTGCAAGTCATAAAAAAGCAGCCTGAAGACTGCCAAAAAAACTTCGCATAGTAATAATAAATATCCTGCTGTCATACGCAAAAACCAAACGACAAAAACGAGTGCGAATTTGCAACGCGACGCGCTTATGTGACGCTGACTGCGCTGCTAGGCTTTGTCTTCTAATTGGAATTGCATTGATTGAATAGCAGCGTCGCCGACGTTGACGTTGACGTCGACGTCAAACGGTTAACGCTTGCTGCTCGCCGGTTTGCAAACAAAAAGTGTGACCAAAGTGCATTGAATATCAATTTGAAGAGTGATTTTCTGCTTTCCCCGTGTTATTGTTTTTAGCCGATCATCTTTGGCGGTATTTTTAATTGAATTTTATTTCACACACTCAAGCGAAACCCCCACGAGATTTGTGTGTGTGTGTGCGTGTATGTATGTGTGTGTGTGTGTGTGTGCATGTGCATTATGTGACCAGCTAAAAGTACAGTAAATGAAGGATAAATTTACGCAGCGTGCAACCATATATTAAATAATTAAATAAAAACGATTTGACGATGAAAATTGTCTCCATTTAACGGAAAAAAGGTGAGTCTTAGAAATTGTCGAAAATATTTAAGATTGAGAAATACATGTGTGGAATTGAAAAGAATTCTTTCTCAAAAAATGCATTCTAGTTACCAAATTCCGCGAGATATTGTTATTAAATTTACAACAATTTTTCTGTCTCTCTAAATATATACACTTTCATTGTGCACTTAAAAAAATTGATATTTTCTTCTTTTCTCTTCGTTCTTACTTTCTATCCTTTATCATCTTTTTTTTAAGTATGTACACTTTGTTTTATCTCTTTTTAAGTATTATATTTATCTTCTATTATTTCCTTTTCTGTTATTTCCTGGGTATCGCGCCCTAGCTTTGAGGTGTTCCACAGTTCGACAGCTTTCCCGGAACTCTGTCCACACCTTTTCCAACTGTACTTTCCCACCTCTCATATATGCATATGTATGCGCTCCTCCCGCCCCTCTCCCGCCCCCACCCTCGCAACATTATCGGCAATTTCAAATGGGTCACGCCTTGCGTTGGGCTGATTACCGATTAGAATATGCATAGCATGTCTTCCCATCCCAACCCATTCTCTGCTATCCATATATCCCCTCCACTTACCCCTCCACCGGCATAAGCCCTGCCAGTGTGCCCACATGCAATTTGCATTTTTAGGCCTCTTGTCAGATGTCGTTAACAGTTGTTTCATAGACTTTGTTATTTTTGTTGTTGTTGTTGTTGTTGTTGTTGTTGCACGAGTTGCGTTTGGCATTTAATTAAATTTGTATTTTTTCTAGCCAAGTTTCAATTGTTTTTGTTGTTGCATTTTGCTGAGTTGCATTTCAATTGAATTTCTTGTTTTTATCATTTGTTGTTGTTTTTCCTTCTGTTGTTGTTTTTTGTCTAATTATGCGGCGTGAAAATGCAGTCCATGTAGAAACATTTGTACAAATATTTGACACGCGACGCTTTGTTGTTGCTTCACTCGAACGTGCCTCCATTTAAAATGGAACTCAAAATTCAAAAATTTTCCAATTGTTCAAATAAAAATATGTCTGTTTTTAATAGAACTTGTATAAATAAGTGTATTGTTGTGTAGCTTCAATATTTCAAACAATTTAAAATTAATGATCTGACTTTTATTTAATTAACAAAAATATTTGGGCAAAGTCTTTATGAAAATGAAGAATATATCATTAAAATGAGCTGTTCTTTAAATATTTAAAAAGTGGAAAGGTCGCGAATATCAAGAGGAAATTATAAAAACAGTTATAATAATTATAAGGAAAAGTCATAAAATTATAAAGAATGGATATTCAAATTGTATTATTAAAATAATCATTTCGCTTCCGAAAGTTGTTGTTTATTTTTATGCACTGATTAAGTAATTAATTATTCATTTAATTTAAAAGTATGAAGGCTTAAAAACGTGTAAGACAATTGCCCAGGAGACGGTTGTCGAGGTGCGATCGAAATCTATCGGAAGAGAACAAAGTATTAAAACAAAATTGTTTTCAATTAATTATATTAATAAGTTAAGCCCCGGACCCCAAGCCAGGCAAATAATTATTGAAAAATGGAAAGGTTGTGCAAAGCAGCATTAAAATATAAATATCTATTCTTGGCCTGGCTTGAGCCAAGCCTTATATCTTTTTATTGCAACTATTCTAAGATTTTATTTGAGTAAAAATGTATATTAGCTTATTACCTAATTAATCAAAAAGTAGGACAAGAGTTTGCCGCAATCTTTGTGCAATTATAAAAGTCGCGAAGTCTTCTTAGCACAGAATATCTCTTAAATGGGCACATGTTTATATTTGAGCCTCATTTTCCAGCTATGCGCAATTACAAGATTAAAACATTAAAATTAAAAAACAGCGCCCTCTTGAAGGTTCTTTTTATAAAAAGTAGTCACAGAATTTGCGCATTTGCTGAAGAGTCTAAAGATCTCAGGTCGAGTGATGCCAAGGCGCGCGTCTAAGCCTATCAAAATGCAACTAAGGCAAGGTTCCGCCCTCAGCCAGTCCAAAGGATACAAATTTTCCACCGACCGCTGCTTCACGCTGTGAAAAACTGATAAACTAGTTCAAGTGTGTGGCAAGTAATTAGTTGTATGTGTGTGTGTGTGTGTGTGTGTGTGTTTGCTGCATTTGTCAAGCTGTCGAGAAACTGTGTAAAAATTTACCACAAATATTTACAAATAGAGGAAAACAGCCGCCGCCGTCGACGTCGCCGCCGACGTCTGCGCCGCGCAGTTTACCTTAAGTTTCTCAAGTGGGGTTAATTAAAAGGAAATTCCGAAAGGCAGAAATGTTGAAAGATTCGAAATTGGTTTTTAATATTTTCAACAGCGCGCACTTCAAATGGAAAAACAGATTTCCACTTAGAGATTATCCGTGTGTTTGCTCCCCGTCTGTCAGCTGCACCCCGCCTCCCCCTTCCCCCTCACCCACTGAGGGGTAGCTGGCCGTGAGCGGGACTTAGCTGACAGGCGAGTGCGGGTAAGAGATTCCTTTCGCTCGAGGTCGAGGCCAAATGCATCGCACTTCCACATCTCCCACCTCTCAAGTATTATGTTATGATATTTGTATTTTTAGTACACTTTTCGGCCCTGTTTGTCCAACTGAAGTACAGCTGACAACTGCTCCTAAGTGCAAACTGTCAACCCGTCTGAAAGATGCCCCCGACTGTGTGGGCTGCATTAGTAAATAGACCAGAGATACAAATACGTGCAACTGAATAGCTTGCATTAGACTCACGCACTTCCGCTGGCAATGAGTGAGAAGGGCTCTGGGAGCGGTCTGCGAGGAAGTGTTGGAATTCCAGAGAAATTTAGTTACCTTCCCAGTTGCTACTTGTCTTTCCGCCCGGCTCTCTGCTTAAAGATTTTAGCTGCGGATAAATATTAGTTTGGCATACTCAATTTAACGCAAAGATATTTATTTAGAAATCATGCATCGTGTTAACCTTTTTTGTTAAATATTTTCATTAGAAATATATTGTTATTGTATATTGTTATTATACTCTATCTTCTTATTTTCCAATTTAAAATCATAGAAGAAATGCCATTCATGACTTTTAACAGATACCTTTTAATTTTGTGTAAAAATACAATATTTTCTTATAAAGGATATTTAATTTTTAAAGTATTCAAAAACCAACAACAACAAACAACTATTTATTATCCGTTTTTTTTTTTTTGTATGAAATAAAAGTATTCGATCATAGGGAATAATTCAAAAAATATATATCAAATAAATAAATAACATTTTAGGACATTAATTTAAAATTATATATTGTATTTATTCACGTATTAAATACATTTTTAATTAAATAATTTCTGCAGCCATTAAATGTCTTCGAAAATATGAGAACTAAAAATAATATTACAAAAACTCAATATATTTATTTGCATTCAAAAAAGCAACAAATTAATATAGAAATTAGACTTTTAATCTTATTGATATAATCTCTTTTGAGCTAGAACCCAATCAACCACTATTATTAATTAGAAGACATTAGGCAACCCCACAATTTGTTGTAGCTGGCCACATTTAATATTCCAGCTCTACATGCGAAATTCTCATAAATCCATGAAATAATTAAAACAATGCCAGTTAAAGCAACTTCTAGCCTGAAAGCAGCAAAAGGTTGAATAATATGAATAATAATCAAGTATATTCATGATTAGCTGAATTTGCACGCATTATTTTGTACAAAGAATTTAAAGAAAAATGTTACATTATTAACAAAATGTGAGATTTATTCTTATTTTGAGCTATTTGTGTAGTTTTCATCATAATGTTATCAACACAGCAAAACTAGACAGAACGGGTATCTTTGGCAGGCCGAAGATATAAAAATACGCTGGTAAGCATTGGGCTAGCTTTTATACAAGAGACTTATACACGATCGATTATTCCAATAGAAGCTATAAACTGCAGTAGTCCGCTTTAATAC